CGTTTATTAGACATCTATGTAAAGTGGTACAGCTGGATTCGCTTGGAATATTATTCAGACAGTTTAGGTATTCTATAGTTTGATACATTGACCGAATAACGTAGATAGTCATTTTAGTGATAGCCTCACTACTTGTAAACTATTTAAATCAAACTGAACAAACGAATTGAGAAATTCACCAGGTTGGGTGCCAGAATGTTCAGGGTGCTTAGTTCGCGAAAACCCCCTTTCACTTTCAGCGAGTATTACAGCATGGATCTTTGAAATTCACATAAGAAGTACACTAAGATGTTTTTAAGAGATATGGCAATGTGTAGAGCAATTTTCGCTCCTACGAAATGTCAAGTGAATGAGATTTTCAAACACGATAAATAGATAATCCCGAATAGAAATACAGTCACTCCACAAATCAATGTAGAACAACATCCGAGATTTGAATGCTGAGAACTATTTTAGTTTAGTGAAAACACATTCATGATAATCATCTGAAAATACAAAGAAGATCTGATGACAATTAGAAACGTGGTCGTTTATGATATTTAGGAATGCAGTTCGAGTTTCACATAGTTTGTCACTAAATGAAGAAGGTTTAGAAACAGACCATAATTTTGGTTATTTCCTAAAATCTAATGATTATGTGTATACAGCAATTCAATATAACTATTCACAAATGATAATTTTATGCTTTTCCAGTTCATTCGGAATCTATTCACCGGAAAAATACATGATTATGTGTTTTCTGGGTTCATATGGAGTAATGAGTAAGTGAAGTCGAATTCATCATGTTGCAGATATTTTAGTATAAATCTCAAATCAAATTACTATGAATCCTTGTTAACATTTCTACTAAAATTTGTAGTTGTATATTGTAGCCAATGCAAAATAGAGGAATTACATTCGCACGACTTTGCGTGATAGAAATGAAGTACTACTGATAGTCAATTCACAGAGACAAGTTGTTAATGCTGTGATCATTGTAACATGCTTCACAAACGTGTTGAACACTATCTAGAACAGATGACAACTGATGCCATACATGTTTGTACAAACACTTGCTTTCAGAATAATTAATATCAAGTTCCATTATTTAAATATGAATACATGCAGAAAGTAACGAAAATCGTCATGTCTTATTACATGTTCTATACACTTAGATCTTTTGTGTTGTACTTTGGATTGTGTTTTTCAACTACACCATTGACTCCCGTTGATTAAGATAATAAGTTAACTATAATTCTCTAGATGATTTCAATCAACATACGATGTTACGAACTACATCTCTCTGTCAGAATAGCTAATATGTATCAGACTATACTCAGAGACTATGTTGAGAGGTAATAATAGAAGTCCTCTTCTGCTTCGGTTTGGACAACTGGTCAGTATCACCGCCCACACACAAACAACTGACTTGAGTGGCGCATATGTATTGGTTGGGAATGATGCATTACAAATGGGGAATAGTAAACTTCATTGTGACCTAGGTTTTTACTTCTCCTGATATGAGACCCTCAAACTACGGAGTCTACTCAGCATTTTGTCACTTAAATTCTGGGTGAACACACCCATATCATGTTGGTTGATTTTATCACTTCATCACAAATGGTATCAGTTCACTTGATAACAATCTGCATCTGTCGATTTCGTTCAAATCAATTATTAATTATTTCTATCTGTTGCAGAAGTTAAAGTAAGAATTGCAAAGCACGAACAGCATTCGTTCACTTAAACAACATATAGAATTCAAAACAAAACTGTCTGCAAGCCAACATCAAATTCACATTCTTCAATACGAACGTCAAGATAGTTCTACTATACTGAGCTGCAACTTCGAGAACCACCACAACAGTCATCAAACATTTACGAGTATTTATAAACAATCATCTACTCGAAATACTCTATATCTGTTTGTCGGATACCATCCGCAAGAGTGTATTGTGGAAGAGAACGAGCCACCTTGCAGTTGAGGATTGAATTAGAAAAGGATGCTAGATGTGGATAGGATATACATTACGGAAATCCTCAGACTGCATCTCGAGATAAGCGTTAACTTGGAATCATGAAGGGAAACAGAAAAGTTGAATTCCAAATAACGCATTGCGTCTGGAATCGCAGTTAAACATTACATTGGGTACAACGGGAAATGAGAGCCCAGGATGGAACTGGTAGTGGTGTCATGATCAGCGATCCATGCTACTCCACGACGATGAATAACAGGCGTAATGAAGTAAGTAAGTAAGTAAGTAATTGATCAATTGTGTAAGTAGGTAAGTAAATGAATGTCTTGTTTTTGTCGACATAGCTCAACTTTTAATGTAAATTGAGTCCATTGTTATCATTAAATCTACTATTAGCCTTTTAGTAACCTAGCATTGAAATAAACTCAGCGATTTAAATTTAAATAATTCCAAATTTTCGTCCAGCAAACTTGTCAGAACGTCTTTATGGTAATAATGAAAATCTAGATTATCAAAGAAATATATCGCGTTTAACAATCAAATCAGATCAAATCTACACTGTGTTAATCCAATCATAATTGGATGTTGTCATGGTAAATAAAACAGCATGGGTCAGTTAAATGCAAATCATGTGGAAAGTTCACAGTGTGGAAATAAATGACTGAACGAATTGTGTGTATATATGTATGTGCAACACTGAGATATTCATAGGTGAAAAGTTCTACGAAATACACTCTTTATTGTCATGATTTCCATCCTATTCTTACTTAATTATTGCCTTTTTCATACTGAAAATAATGTTAAACCTGAATTAAAATTATGATTCATCTGATTGTAGTTAGGATAATTACTGAACATCAATGATAATGGAAACCAGTATAAGGAGTCAGATCACCAATTAATATATTTATTTCATAGTTTGAAATCATGAGTCGATTGAAGCTAGACCACCATTGAAAACCTAGAAGCACTGGACGGCCGTTTCGTCCTAGCATGGTGCTCCTCAGCAGTGCGCATCCCGCACCACGCGGGGTTCGAACCCAGTACCTACTAGTTTCGCGCGTGAGCACTTAACCACTAGACCACTGAGCCGGTATCCAACGGTGTTAATGTGTAACTTCAACCAATCCACGAAGTTGCGCCACTGTACACCATTGTCTTCAGTGAGTTGTTATCTCTCAACAGACCTGGTTGAACTCCACTGGTAATTACTTCTCACTAGAACTCCAGGAGTTTTTCTTGAAGTCAGTCACTAGTGAGCAGTTGATTATTATCAGAATGGGTTTTCCATGGTAGTCTAGCTTCAATTGACTCATGATTTCAACCTATGAAATTTCTAAAAACTCTCCACAAAACCCATTCTGATAATGTATATAATGTTGTTTAAATACAAAATGTGAATTTAACAGTAACAATGTGGACCACTATTAATCTCCAAAAATGACGGATATTTTCCAAAATTAGTGTTTGTTTACTGAATAACTGATGCATTTTACTTTTTTAATCGGTAAGTAACGTAATAGTTTTACAATAATTATTGCTATTCAGTTAAACATCTTGATATTTATCTTCTGTACACTACTTTTCCCTACTGAACTTTTAAGTTGATGATGCTTCAAAACACTTCAAAGAACTCAATGAAAGCTGTATGAAAACAAGATTAGTTATTAAAAGTATCTACATTTACAAACAGGTTTTTATGATTGTCACATAGTTATCTACTTACGAAGCTGGAATCAACTTCGAAATTTATTGACTAGTACTTTAGTGAACGAGAACACATATGAGAACAATCAAATGTACAAACTTACAGAACGTTTTGGTAAAATCTAAGAACCATACAGTAAATACTTTATTTGTAAAATGTCAATCAAATGTCTCAAATTTCATTGTTATTTCGTTTCCACATCAATCATTCTCTGTTCTCGTTCTCTTTTCTTCAATCTACTTAACCTTCACTTTAAATTGATGATACATACTACTTATATCTGTCGATATTAGTAGCACACACCACAGAATTTATGTCTGAAGTACATAAATCTAATATGATGAGATTAATATCGGTTTTTATGTAATCAACTAGCTATTGTCGAATTCATTAAATAATTAAGATAATATTGATATATCCATGAATAAGGTATATTTTTAGTTGTTTTCCTTTATATTCACAAAAACACTACAATGAAAAAAATAATCACAATACATAACCAATATCATCAAACAATCCGACATTAAAGAATATCCTATAAATTATTGAGATATTGTTGGGATATTCAGAAATATATCCCAAAAATCATCCTGTTAAGTCTAATGCTATCCTTGGACGTGACATGGTGTCATTTTCCTATTGGCCAATATTTATTTCACGTGTCATTTTCCTGTTGGCCAATATTTATTTCACGTGTCATTTTCCTGTTGGCCAAAGATTGTACAAATGTTATTTTCTATTTTGTGGTACGATGTGGTCTGCTTGATTGGTATATAAAAACAGAGTATGTTTGAAATACAGGATTCATATCGCAGGGGCTGAAACTTGTGTTCTGGACTTAACTGGCTGGGCTAGACACGAAACAGGGCCAATCAGGACTCTAGACTGCTCGCACGTGTTTTACGCGTCATTTATACGATCGATAAGTCACTGCTCCCTAATCGGCGGTCACAAGTTATAACAGATATAAACACAATTTATTAGAAATATTTCTTTTATTTGTTCAATAAATAAGCTTTGAATACTGTACAAGTTATTGTCATCAAAATATCTTGATAACTAGAAGGTTATATTAAGATACCATATACAAATAACATCTCCTTAGAAAATATCTGACAAATAGTGTTGATAAAATCAATATATGAATAACCGAAAACACAATTTCTAACTTTTATCAAGTTTATAAATTTCAGCTAAGTAATTTTAAATAGTCAGTTATATGTACAATATCTTCAATCAGAAACTCTAGATCTTTGTACTATTTTCATTCAATGATCTTTTAAAATAATCTAAAAAAATATATTTTTTACATTTTGAATCTTTTCATTTTAAACCAACTACACATCTAAATTCGAACTTCTTTGTAAATTCATAACCGATTTTTGAAAATCTCGAAGTTCCAAAGCTATAATAAATGTTAATTCTGCACAACCCAAAACAACGCACCATTCGCTTACTGCACTCCATACAAATTCAATATAACCCTGTATAAATACAAAAAATATTATTTTATGATTAATCTAATTACAACTATGATTGTTATATATTTTCAAATTTCGAATTTAAGTTTATCATTTATCTCATAACTTTCAGCTTTGCCAAAGTAAAATATTTAGACGACAGTTACTACTTTATTGTTAGAATAGTATTATTTTGAAGTAATGGAATCGCCTGGTCTATGTAGGATAATTATAAAGTTTTCACTTTCATTATAAACAACAGTAACAGTGAAAGAAAATAAATGCCACATAGTTCACAGAATAAATTCTACCATCTTTGATAATCTATACATTAGACTATGTGGAAATCGCCCTCTCACTTACGGATATATCGACACATACTATTGTTGAAAGTTCATGATATATTACCATTGATATCATTTTACACAGACAACCACGTGCATGAATTCGACTGAAAAAATTCTGAAATCCTGAATCAGATGATTTGTAATATTACCTGTGAGTTTCTAGAAACCTGACATTCAGATCAATTGCCAATCAACCGACACATTAAGACAGATTTGGCTTATCAACTTGTACAAAACGTCTCACAGTTGAATTTGCAAATTAAAGCTAGACTACCATTGAAAACCTGGAAGTACTAAACTGTCGTTTCGTCGTAGTATAGGACTTCTAAGCAGTGTGGTTTCACAATCCCGAATGTGGGATAAAAATGTGTGATCAACTACTTGCTTAAAGGTCAATCAACGAGGCTTTCAACTTTGAATGCAAGGACAAATGAAGACAAAGCAACCTAAGGAGATGATTAATCATGAAGAAGACCATCGGAATGAACTAATTTAATCCTTAACTTGAAAAGGACACTATTTAAATATTTGAGAAAGACTGAAAGTACTTTAACTTTTTATGTTTGTAAACAGAAACTCAGCCTTCAGTAATAATACCATCCTATGCTTTGTCCTTATCTGACTAATTTATCAATTTTAACAAACAAAGTTTGTGCTCTCATATATCACTTACCGATTCATAAGGTTTGATATAGAAGAAATCTTTCGCTTTTAAAACTTTAAGTCCAATCATATTGAAATGTACAACTGATAAATGAAAAATATAAGTTAACATTTTTAAAATAAACAATGACACATTTATAATTAGATATATTCTATCAGCTGAACAACCTGATAAACAAAAGAAAAATTTCGTTACATATGTCTACAACCCTATATGTCAATATAAATATTTCACAGATCATGAGTCAATTAAAGCAAGACCACCATGGAAAACCTGGAAGCACCGGACGGCCGTTTCGTCCTAGTATGGGACTCCTCAGCAGTACGCGCCCACGATCCCGCACCCCGCGAGATTCGAACCCAAGACCTATCAGCCTTTTAAGTTGCCTAGAAAATCTACTCAACACTTTATTTTTATGGTGACATAAAGTATTTTAATATAAAAAAACAATTATTCTATTTTCAGAAAGGGTTTTGTGGATATTATAGTAATTTTAATAGTTGAGATCATAAGTCGATTGAAGCTAAATCAATTTCACTCAATTTCGTGGATTAGTTGAAGTTAGACATTAACACCGTTGGATGCCGGATGGCTCAGTAGTCTAATGGTTAAGCTGGTTCGAATCTCGCGAGACGGGATCGTGGATGCGTACTGCTGAGGAGTCCCACAATAGGACGAAACGGCCGTCCAGTGCTTCTAGGTTTTCTATGGTGGTCTAGCTTCAATGACTCATGATTTCAATCTGTGAAATTTCTAAAATCTCCACAAACCCCTTCTGACAATATAAATATTCTCAATGCTTGTAGAATATAAAATCATTTACTTAAAATGATTTCATATTTACTGTTTCTATCGGGAATCGTAAAGATATACTTGATTTATTAGTGGTAACAAGTATTTACACTTCATGACTGTTATCATTATGAAACAAAACTAAACTTCTGCTTTTTGTAACCCATGCAAGATTCAAACTATCAAATTGTTTAAAGCTATTTTTATTGTGATTTCTCATAAACAAACTCATAGGAACTTCAACCTCGTGTTGTTACATTATGGAAGGTAGCTCCCTTGAACAAAAAAGCTGTATAAACGATGAAATATTCAGAATAGGAATTATTTGTTACTGTCATACAAGATCTGTGTATTATATACAATGACTGATCGGTAAGGATTCTTAGTTATCAACATACCTAAATAAAATGAATTAATGAATTATTGGGACCTAAGGTCCCGATAAACACATCGAATAAACATTCACAGTTTGTTAAGCTTTTCCATCACTGATTCACTGTTTATTTTAAGCATTTACTATGTTCTATAGCCATTTTTAACAGTGATTTCAATGGTTCAATAGTGCATTTTCTATATCATCTTTTTCCTAACTATGAAGTCATAAACGCTGTTTCGGAATATCGTACTCTAAATTATTCACATTAGTAGTATTGTCTTTTAAAGAAAATCATAATCTACAATCTGCTTGTTAAAGAAACATGCTTAATATTAAGAAGGGAAACAATCATTTGTTATAGTTCAAAAATTAATCAACCTATCGATAATGTAACCAGGTTTACACTGAGTATTTATGCCTTGAAGTTAAAAAATTACTAAGTCGTTTCGGGTGCGTTGAAATTATTAATTATGATTGTTAATTTTACATATGATAATTAACTTTAGTACTGTATTATAGTAAATCAACATTGAAATATAAGTATAACAAGTAATAAAAGAGAATAAGGTGTCTCAAAATACTAAAGTATATGTCTCAACTTCATTGTAATATCATGTATATCAATTATTTAAGGTGTAAATACTTTATGAATCATTGTAACGGCACTTTGCTTAATAATGTTTCCTTTCTTATATATCAGAATTTTTCTTGAGACATTAACATATAATTTACTTCAATAGATGAGATCATGAGTCAGTTGAAGCTAGACCACCATGGAAGACCTAGAAGCACTGGACGGCCGTTTCCTCCTATTACGGGACACTTCAGCAGTGCTCATCCACTATCTCACTTCGCGGGATTCGAACCCAGGACCTATCAGTCTCGCGCGTGAACGCTTAACGATTAGATCACTGGGCCGCCCGGCATCCAACGATGTTAATGTCTAACTTCGACTAATCCACAAAATTGAGCGACACATCCATCATTGTCTTCAGTGATTTACAATCTCACAACAGACCAGGTTGGGTTCCACTGGTATTTATTATCTTATGACTAGTATTATACATTTTCGTCAAATATTAGTCAAACCATATTTCATGTATTATGAAATCTTTGAATGAATATTTGGTTTTTCTGGTAATTAAGTTATTAAAAGTTATTTAAAAGCATATTCTTTGTTTATATTTCTTGTTTATATATGTATATTGGAAATTTTCTCTAGCAGATTTATGAATGTAAATAAAATATTTTAAATAGGTCCAATAGTTTCAAAGTTTAAATCTCATTAATTATCATGCAAAACTATGTATCGAATGTACTTGAACTTGAAAAAATAAACGTTTGTGTAATATTTAGTAAGAATTTTTTGTGTTTTATAAACACTCACATGAAGCAGATGCCAGTACCATTTGAATAACAACAAATAGTCTTCCAAAACAATATAATATCCATTTGTTTGAAATACAGGCGATTACAACTGCTCCACAAGGAATTGCAATAACATGACAAATAAAATTCAATAAAGTCAAATGATAATGTTCAGCGTTGTTTTCTTTTGTCTATTCAAATCATAATAAATAAATAAATTAAGTTAATAAAGTAAGAGTTTGAATAAATCTAGTTGAAGTGTTGGTGAATGATATCAAAGTTCTCTTGTTTCTCCTAACTAGCTTTTATATTGAATCAGTTTATCAAAAGTTGTTTACCGTAAAACAATTTATTCAAACTGTCATTTGTTCTGACTGAAATCACACAGTTTTCAAGTGAGAACATGAAAGTAAGCTACATAGTTTCTTCAACCAAATGATATAAACACTAGCACAATCATAATGAATCATATCAATTAAAACAAGCTTTATTTCTTATCAAGTGATAAAGTATTTTTTTGTTATTTTTATTTAGTGCAGCTCTATCCTCAAACTACTCATTGTATCTGTTCTATTAAAAAGTAAGAAAATGAGAATGGGAAAGAATAACTTAAAATACTTGAAAGCTTAAATTCACTTAGTTTTGACAATTTATTATCTCAATGGTTAAGATCATGAGTCAGTTGAAGCAAGACCACCATAGAAAACCTAGAAGCACTGGACGGCCGTTTCGTCCCATTGTGAGACTCCTCAGCAGTGCGCATCCACGACCTCGCGCCCTGCGAGATTCGAACCCAGGACCTACTAGTTTCGCGCGTGAGCATCCAACGGTGCTAATGTCTAACTTCAGCTAATCGACGAAATTGAGCGACACATCCACCGTTGTCTTCAGTAAGTTACTATCTCACAACAGACCTGGTTGAACTCCACTGGTAATTACTTCTCACTAGAACTCCAGGAAATACCTCTTGAACCCAGTCACTAGTGAGCATATGTTGAGGAGTCCCACAATACGACAAAACGGCCATCCAATGCTTTCAGGTTTTCCATAGTGGTCTAGCTTCAACTGACATTATCTTAACCATTGAAATTACTATAATATCTACAAAACCCATCTGATATTAAATTATTATCTCTTAAATATTCCCTTTGAGTTTTTGTACTCTGTTCTCTGAAATCAGATTTTTCTTAAAAAAACACCATTAGTATGTCAGATTGATATCAATACTCATAAATGAAAAGGCTAATAAACATACGTTAATAAAAGAAAGTCCGACTATACACATCCCAGCTATCGTCATAAATACCGCAACAACTACACGTAGAAAATGAAGTATTATGGATCTCATTTTTCTTATTTGAACTCCAGCTTTCCAACACCAAATCCATTGACTCAAAGTAGCTGAAACACAACAAAAATGGATATTTATTGTTTTTATCAAATAAATAAATTAGATAAATAATTTAGATAACTTGTCCTAATAACACAGCAAAATCAAAATCTTCTGTTATCTGCATAATAGAAACAGAAGCACGGGTTATCGGTACAGTAGGTATTATCTCTATTTCACTCAAAGTTATTGCTTGCTATGAATAAACGCTTGTTTGAACGTCGTTTGAACTGACTGGTTAATACAGAAAGCCAAACTTTTCATTTAACAAACCAGTAATTTAGTAGACGAAATACTTAATTATCAGTATCTTCTAACAAGCTTTTAATCCCATGTAAAGGCTTCATAAGGAATGTTTATAATTGGAACTTAGGTACACGTGTGAGAAGCATCACTATTGTATGCATGATCCCATTCAAAGTACTTTAAGAATAAATCTCAGCTCATGTCGATGTCTAACGTACCTAAATTAACATTTAAATTATCATTATGTTGCAATATATAATACGAGAAACTCAAATTCAGTATGTATTGAGGAGTATTTTCTTCCAAAAATCTAAATATATTGATGACGGCAAGCAGTTCAACCTACCCATTATTCCATAACTTGACATTAGAACCATGAACATGTATTTTTCCGGTGGATAGATACCAAGTGCGCTACAAATATTATTACATAAATGGCAATTAATGTAAAACATCAGTTTAGATTGGTTTTTTAAAAAAAAATTGGAAGTGTAATTGAACAGTAAACTTGTGTTTTCTGTTGTCAAGATGTTTTCATTCAATAATTGGTTGAAACATTGTTAGCGAAGAAAACAGTAATGGTTTTCCATGCACCGAATTAATATTCAACTAATTAACTTTCAGTAGATGTAATATAGAACAGATTTACTTCGAAAATATTATGTAAATAAATTTTCCATTAAACAATCAATTTTCACGTACGAATATGTGTAGAACATTATTCAGTATCTGAAACAATCAGTTCATTTCATATATGTTGAAAGTGTGTTGATGAGATGAAATTGGACTGCAGAAATGGGATAATCACTGATATCCTAATTAATACAGTTCTATACGTAAACTAAATAAGGTCAAATGAATAAAAGCTCAGACGAATCGAAAATACGTGAGAAAGACTATACAATGATAAGGGATTAAGTTGTCATACCCGAAATTATTGAAATGGATTTAGGTTTACCCAAATAAGCATGATCCTTTGAGTTCGACATTTTTATCCCTTTCATAGCAAAATTTCTAGTCGTTCATCTGAGGATTTCCATACTCTAATACTTAAAATGGTACAGATTACTTAATAATTACAAATGTACACTTTCGCAAAAGCTGGTATCAATTATATATCTCCCAAGTATACATCGGCCAGCGAAATGATTACCAAAACTTCCGAGTCTAATCTTTAACGAATAGCCGAGACTATAATTTATGGACGATCCAGTCAGATTTACGATCTAATTGCTAACCCTAATCAACTGTAAATCATAATCCTTATTCTTCAAACTGCTTTATAACCCCTATTTACTAAGTAAGTAGACACTCCCAAGGTCACTTTGGCGTCTCTCAAAGGTCGTTCATAAATTAAAGTCTCACAAATATTAGTTTTGTTCAGATTAATGTCGTACTTTTAAGTTGCTTAGAAAATCTACTCAACAATTTAATTTTGTGATGACATAAAGTACTTTAACCTAAAAAAACAATTATTCTATTATCATACACATAGTTCCCTTTATTATCTTAAAGAGAGCAAGAACAAAGATTGCTATCAAACGTCTAAAGCCAGATCTACGTATACAAAAAGAGACAGTAATAAACCTTTCTTTACCCTGGTAACAGTAGCCCTCTTTTTATTCATTTATTTCTACTTATTTATTTATTGCATCATTACTCCAACTCTTTTAAATTACATCATACATAAATGATTGATTTCAATTCATATTTTCTTTATTATCATTAATCTATTTTTATGAGTTCTAATCACTATTTCAATGTTCTGGAACTTTCCCTCTTAAACTCTATTTATTCGAGACCAAATTTTATGACCTCATTAACTCTATCGGAATCTTCGCTACACCATGATACATTTATTCATCTTTAATCACCCTCTTATGTAAATGTCAATATCTGTAATAATTTTGAATTTCAAATATTTTAGGTTGTAAGCAGCTGATGAGAACCTAATAAAATAAAATGAATTCACATTATTCTGCATCAATCTTCGTTCTTGCCCTCTTATTCTATTTTCAGAAAGGGTTTTGTGGATATTATAGTAATTTTAATAGTTGAGATCATAAGTCGATTGAAGCTAAATCAATTTCACTCAATTTCGTGGATTAGTTGAAGTTAGACATTAACACCGTTGGATGCCGGACGACTCAGTAGTCTAATGGTTAAGCTGGTTCGAATCTCGCGAGACGGGATCGTGGATGCGTACTGCTGAGGAGTCCCACAATAGGACGAAACGGCCGTCCAGTGCTTCTAGGTTTTCTATGGTGGTCTAGCTTCAATTGACTCATGGTCTCAACTATTAAAATTATTCTATTTCTCATTTTTTTTCTTTGCTTTTATTGTTTTCTTTATATAAATCGTCATGGTACACTTGGTAAATCTTACATTCTGTATGTGTTTTACAATCTTACCTACTTACTTCCTTCACCTCATATGTTCAGTTGAAAATTATGCAATAATGTTGCAGTGAGAAATAATATGGTCCCTGTTCAGTGTACTCTATTTATCTTCGATGAGTGCGCGATATATTGCTCTATCATAAAAACATCATAAGAACAACAATTTCTGAATAGTTTCTAAAAGAGTCAGCTAATTGTGACCTTAATGACTTTGTTACAAGTGATTAATCTGTTTATGTTATATGAAGTACGTGAAGAGGATAACTTTGCCAAATAAAGAATGAAATCACCTTCGTATTCATCACAGTCACTCAGTAATTATGTTAAATACATCTTGATAAACAATTCCAAATAATCGTGGTTATTTAACAGGTCAAGTGAAAACCATGATCATTGCTATATGAGACTGTACCACTACATTTTTGGACAAACACGATGAGGATGAATTTCAGCTGACTGTATTGAGGAGTACTTCAATAATAAAGTCGTAAAAACAGTGTTCCAGAAATCTTTCAAACTACAATCAAATATAATATTGATTTAGGAGGTTATTGAATACGTACTGTTCAGATGAATCATTTTGATTCTTTTGAAAGTACCGCTCTGTATATTTTTGTTACTCTATAACATGAAACCAATATTCGCTACTGAAATTTACACGGAACTATTACCGGTTTGCTGATAAACCATTTTTAGCCATTTTATAAGATAAGAAATGAGTGATTAAATCTTATATTCACTTGGTTTGTTTTAAGCAATATAGGTACAAATTTTTTAATCACAATACAAAAATGTGATCATAGAAATGAGAAACGAACCCACCTTACATATGGTACGACTGGTGAAATATGGTCATTGGAAATCGCGATCAGATACCTTAGATTCGGAATTAAATTAAGATCATTTTTATAAACGAGTGTGCAAATTAGAAAACTTAATAAGCAGTCATGGTTAAATGATACTGTTTATATAAAAAAAAACAAGGAATATCGGATAGCAGGTTTATTTTTGTGTGGGACTCATGGATGATAATCCGCTTCATGCATTTAATATTCTCGAATCATGTATATAAACAAGGCTGTTTTGTTGTTCAACGTTTGCATTCATTCTTAAAACTTATTTTATTATAAACCTATTAGTCGATCGAAAACAGTATAATTCTATTGAATAGATCATATGGGGTCTGTTTAAGATAGATTGAAATATATGCAAAAGCCTGTTAAACACAGGTAATCTTCAGTATACCCCGCTACATAGACAAGTTTACATTCATGAATACTATGCTAGGATATCTACATGTTTTTCATTAATTGGTTTATTCTCATTCTGGTATATAATTATTATTACGTTCATAAGAATTCTATCGAATCATTGGTCTCTCTTTACTTCAAACAGTACTGAAAACCAAATCTATCTGAGTGTATTCAGAAGAAGAACATGATTCCAATGTGATATCAACCCAATATTTTCTGTGTGTTTTACTGCTTTTTCATGAAGGATCATTCCTAATACACCTCCAAAAAATTATTTCCATAATTTTCTAATCGAATTTCCATAGATCGTTATTTTGATCCCGACTATAAACTAATGATGTATGTTCCGTGTCATAAGCTTTTAACATTGATTTATTGTTTGCATTGTTCATTTGGTTACCTGATAAGTTTTCATTTCGGGTATTTACACAATACTAATTGACCTCTGCAAAGTATACGCTTGTATAATTCCCTAAACATTATAGTAAATCTGTGAACATTTGCATTGTTTTATAATGGTCATTATCACCTTATCCACTTCTGATACATTAACATCCACTCTGATTCCGAATAAACGTTTTCAATTGTGACCTATTGAGAAATTGCAGAAAATATGTGTATGATATGTATGTGTCTTGGCATTAATCGAAATATGGATGTTTGACGTTTTATCAGAGTTGTGAGTCGTAAATATTTCTATTTAATTTTACAAGTAACCAACTGTAAGTGTTGAGGTAACAACACAAAAATTATACTTACGTGGTTGGCAGCCAGAATAATGCGTGTATAACGGCGAAAAATGGTAGTTTGTACCAAGCGAAACGACACAGAGCCATTGAGAGGAATATTTTCTGCAAGCAATAATAGCAGAATATATACGTATTAATGTTAGACTGGGAGACTTGAAGTTGTAGGTGGAACAATTTTTTCAGTCAGTAATGTGAGAAAATAACTTATTTTGTTCGAATTCTCTCTTATTTGAAGAAACTAGTTACTAACAACGAAATTTATTATGAATTCACTATGTTCATTGAATAATGTTCACTTAAATGAAACGGAAAAACCTATTGTTAACTTTACATGTGATAATCTCTAGTCAAATGGATCAATGTTGTGTCACTAAAAGACCTAAGAGGTACATTTCATAAGTGTATATAACAAATTATTAATCCTTCAATCTAGAAGTCTTGATGAACAATACTATAAGAAAACTATGTACATAGCTTTACAGAAGATGTGAATTTAATCTGCTCAGGATGCATTAATTGTCGAATAACTTAATTACTTACTTGCGCCTGTTACTCATCGTCATGGAGGAGGATAGGTGACCCATTAACATTCTCCATAGAACTATGACCTAGACAATCCTTTCCAGTTCTTTCCAGTTTCTATTCATCCTTTTCATGTCTGTTTCCAATAGCCAGCACACTGTGTCTTGATCTTCCTCTTTTCCGTCTCCTTTCACGATTCCAAGTTAGCGACTGTCTTGTGATGCAGTTTGATGATTTTCTTAATGTATGTCCTATCCACTTCTAACGTCCTTTCTTAATTTCCACTTCAACTGGAAGTTGGTTTGTGCTCTTACACAGTAGTCTGTTGCTGATCGCATCCAACAAACAGACATTGGGTATAATGTGTAGAAAATTGGTTATAAATATCTATACTGTTTTAATGACGGTCGTACTAGTTTTCCTAATTCCAGCTCCACACAACTGAAATGCATTGATGTTCGTAATAAAGATTGTGACTTTAACGTCGGTTTTCAGACAGTTGTTTTGAGCTTCACATGTTTTTCAACTGCAAGAATGCTGTGATTGCTTAACTAATCCTTACTTATACATCTGCATCGGATCCTCCTGGTTCATCTATGATGCTGCTCTACTCAGGTACGTGAACGTTTCAACCTCTTCCAGAGTATCGCCATCAAGTGTAAATAGTTTGGTTGGTGTCCTCCATGTTGTATTCCAGGATCTTGCCTTACCCCATGTGTAGGTTAAGGCCTACTGATGAAGAAACTGCTGCTACACTATTTGTCTTGACCTGCATTTCTTGATTTGTATGGGATAGATAGGCCAGGTCATCTGAGAAGTCCAAGTCATCTAGTTGCATCCAACCTATCCATTTTATTCCGTGGTTTTTCCCAGGTGTAAAAGTCTTCATAATTCAGTCAACCACCAGAGAAAAGAGAAAGGGGAGGTTAGGCAGCCTTGCATGACTCCGTTAATAGTGTGTGATGCCTGTGTATTTCGCACATTTGTTAAGATCTTTCTTTAATATCTCGATGAGATATCCTTCATTCTAGTCTGTCTGTTGGTACTTGTTCTTCCATCCAAATCTTCCTCAATAGAACACGGAGCATGTTTGCAGTTACTTCTATATCTGACTTCAGTGCATCGGCTCGTATGTTGTCTGGTCCAACTACTGCTTTCCCACTACTGAGTTTTCTAATGACCGGCCATCTTGATTTCTTTGGTTAATGGCGGAGTGGCATTTATAGGAATGTTTGTGTGTGCTTCTTCAATGCTGGGTGGGTTGCGTGAGACTGGTCAATTTAAGGGTTTCTCGAAGTGTTCTACCCATCCGTTTATCTGTCTTTGGATCTCGGTGAGCATATGTGTGTCCACTGCTTTTCCTACTCAGCGTATGTCTGTAGCTTATTTTCGTTCTGACTAGATATCTGTTCACGCTTGGTTAAGTCGGGTCGGCTCACTCACCTTTTCCACTGCGCGGCATTTCGTTTTACTTCGCTCTCTTCTCTTCGCTTTACCTCTTCTTATTCTGAATCTCCATCTGGATAATCGAATGTCGGAAATAAATTCGTCCAACGCTACCTGTATTTGGCTGCTTATTACCGCAGTCAAACAAACGCGGTCAGCCTAAATAGTATACGGAATAAATGGAAAATTTATATTCATAGCATATTCATACATTCATCCAAATAGGAGTCAAATCAGTCGGCACCAAAAAAGCTGTTTCTCCCCTTGTCCATTGCTTTTTTAGCTTCAGTTTCATCTTGGCAACCACCAGGTGGAAATCTGAAGCTATATCAGCCACTCTGTTGGTTTTCGTATCTCCCATCGACCTTCGGAATTTTTTAGTGATGCGAATATGAATTGTATGCATTAATTTATTCATCTTTATAACTATAGATTGCCTTTTTTTCCAATTCAAGCTAGTTTACTACCTTTAATTGTCCTCTGGTTTGTCGTCTCTGATCTATTTATTAAGAGATTGATAATAACCAATAACCACTATTATAAAAGCATATCTGTCAGGAAACATTGTATTCGAATTTCAAACTAGTAGAAAACAACCCTACTCTAGAAGCATAATACACTTCAAAGTACTATGTGGTATCAGATACTGAAGTACGTTGACGAAACAATAAACTGTTTCGTTCAGCAACTGACTGTTCTACAAAATGAATATCTTTAACCGCACTTGTATTTCATTTTTTCATGTGTTGAGGCACGGAAAACTAATTCATCATTTTGAATTCCCAATACAGTGATTCCAGTAACATTTGGTATCACAAGATCGATTAGGAAAAGTGTTAACCGATTACAATAATACATTACCATTTAGATGTGAATACGAGCGAAAAAACTACCTGAAATAGGTCAAATTTCTAATTCAGTGTAAACAGAAAACAGTAATTCACACGAGTATCATGAACAAAACAAGACTAAAACTATTTGGAGGTGTGAAATTCACTGTATTTATCTTATCTGTACATGGATTCCGTCAGTTCTCTTTTCCTATCAATCAAAAACGTAGATTCGAAGACCTGACAGTGTTTGAGCATTCGAAACTTTTTAATCCGTTTGATTCTTATTAATACTTTAAAGTGATAGATGGTTTTGAGATACATTCGACGTGCATCGTTGATGTGGGTGCTGAATTGAGGACACAAAGTGATGTAGACTGTAACTTAGGATGAGATTTCTTTTCAACAGATGATGTGACTTATTTCAAGAACGAAAGAGTGGTATATACTCTCAGTTGTACAATTGCACTTTGATTATACCAGGTATAGTTTTAGAAGAATAACATACAGATTGCACTTAAAGTTGTTTAGTGTTCGAACAAATGTGGTTCCATATTAGTGAAAAGAAATAATTTACATCGTTCTAATAAACATTACTTACCCTGAGTTGATCTAAAAATTATAGTCGTTGAGTTTGTCTACAAAAACTTTGAATTGAAACATTCTACTAGTTTCAATAACGCATAGTATGGGGTGTGAAATGATTGAAATTGGTTTTAGTTTTATGTATTAATAATGTTAATAATAATGATAAGAATGCACACATATCGACAGGATTGTATTTGTATATATATGTTTTCATGTATTGATCAGAACAATGTTTAATCAACTAGTTAAATCAACCAGTCGTAAACAATTATTAAACTTGTTTAGTGAAAAATTCTACTTGCAGCCTACAAAAGAAATCACGTATGAACTAGTACATCTGAATACTCATGTAACTGAATTTCATGCATTTGAAATTGACACGTTTTGCACATATTGACATTTCATGACTGATCGTCACTTATTATGAATTTGTCACCAATTGTCATGTCTGGTCGTCTCTAATTGTTATGTTGGGTTCACTTATTACTTATACTTGTAAAATGAGATACCACTGCAATCCGAACAAAGTGAAGTAAGAACGACAAGACTGGTACAAGTGAAGGTTTATTAAACCCAAAACACGACGACCCTAGTCGAAAATACACTCATTTATATATTGATTTGTACACTCATTTTAATTAATAATTAGGATAAAATCACGTGTATGAAAGATACCCAGAGTTATAACAAATCACACGCTCAGTGTCATGCTGAGCATAGTTCGTTTTAATTTGATACAAGAATATCGTATATTGAATAAAACATCACACTCAAACAAATTAATGTTACACCTAATAGAATATTACACTGGTAAACAAACACAAATCCCACACTGAATAATTATCATATTGAATATTGAACAAAAAAGTCACATTGAGTAAGAAAAAAAATGTAAGTTTGTTTTTTAATCCCATCCTATCATAAAGTTTTGCTAAGTATTCAATATGTTATTGTTCACTAGTTTAATTAGTATAGTTCCGATCCGTTTAAATACATAGTTCAACATGAAAAAGGTGTTTGTAAATGGTGATCATGGGCTGCCTTTTATCAGCTGTAGTCAATTTTATTCATAAACACCGAATAATACTGAAATAATAAGTCTCTTGTATGAATATTAAGAATTCCAAATACGCATGTTCATTGATTAATTAATTAATAGTTAATTAGTTAATAGTTAAAGAGAAATTAATAGTTAAAGAGAAATGATAGGAATTCCGTTAAGTATAGACGAGTAACTCATAATATCTACTAGTCAGAATCAGTTTTCTAACTACAACTACAAAATTCTCATAGTCGGTAGTAATATTCGAATTGTTGTTCAATTGCGAAATTAAGAAGTTATAAAATCAATTCTCTTTATGTTTATCAAATGTGAATTTGAAGGCTACCACTACTCTTGACTAATAATGCTCCAACTACAAAAACTGAGCACCGATTTGAAATAAGCAACTAATAACATCGATTGACAGTGTTATTCTCAAATGCATCTGCATTAAAGTATACAATGTATTTCTATATTTATTTCGGTGAAGTCAAGTTGGAGACACCAAAAATTATTCTAGGCTTTTAAATGCCTGGATTCCGAGAAAACTGACATAACATTAGGATTCATGCACTAGAGGTGGAATACCTACTTTTTTATGTATGTATAGAGAGATGATTATTTGTATTATCTGTCCTTTTAGTAGCAGTATAAACCACATGAGCTTAATTATTCCGTTGTCACACATTTGCATGAAGTGTGTAATATTATTAATCATTCAAACTGTGTGCTACAACTCTTTTTTCTATTTTCAAAATGCATGAAACCAATTCTGGTCAATCAAAAGTATTTTGTTGATGAATCGTTCCGTCAAGCGGGATTAATGGCAATGTGATTACCGTAAATTATAATCTCGGAATTCATATTACTTTTACTAACTTCTAAAAGTATATTTATTGTCCTTGATTGAATCTTACAATAACATCTATATGCCTACTGTGTATATGAGTTTTAGTGAACCCTGAAATCGGGCTGCTCCACGAGTGTGGTGATCAACTGAATTATGAAGATCTTCACATCTGAGGAGAACCACGGAATATAATGAACGGTTCAGAATCAATTTGAAGATTTGGACTTCGCAGATGAACTGGTCTTTCTACCACTTACACATCAACACATCCAAATGAAGACAAGCGGTGTGGCAGAAGTATATACATCAGTGGGCCTCAACATACACAAAATAAAATGAAAGATCCTAAAATACACCACGGAGAACATCAAACAAACCAATCACACTTGTTGGAGAAGCTCTGGAAGATGTGGAAGTTTTCACGTACCTGTGAAGCATTACCGATGAACAAGGAAGTTCCGATATAGATGTAAATGCGAGGATTGACGAAGCAAAGGCCGCATTCCTATCATTGAAGAAAAAATGGAACTCAAAAAACTGTCTGCAAGCCAACATCAAATTCACAATCTTCAATATGAACGTCAACACAATTCTACCATACTGAGCTGAAACTTCGAGAACCACCACAACAGTTATCGAACATTTACGAGTATTTATAAACAATCATCTACTCGAGATAATCAATATCTCTTTGTCGGATACCATCAGCAAGAGTGTATTGCGGAAGAGAACAAACCAACTTCCAAATGAGGAGGAAATTAGGAAAGGATGATGACGTTGATAAGAAATCATCAGACTGCATCACGAGACAATCGTTAACTTGGAATTGTGAAGGGAAACGAAAAGGTATTAGGCCGAAGAACACTCTACGTCGGCTATTGGAAACAGATATGAAAAGGATGAATGGCAACTGGAAAGAACTGGAAAGGATTGTCCAGGTCATAGTTGAATGGAGAGTGCTAGTGGGCGGCCTATTCTCCTTCATGACGGGTAACAGGCGAAGGTAAGAAATAAGTAGTAAACTTTCAGATGAGATAAACAGTAAGTGAAACTTATAAATGATTTGAAATATTTGACCATCAAATCTAAAAGTTTTCCGACATTGTAAACTGTATTGAAATCTATAAAGTCATATGCTAGAATTTGTTTTTCATATATTTTCATCCGGTTTAATTAAACTTCCAAATTGGAAATCTGTAACAATACATTATCAAACTCTTACCAAATCATCTGTTTCACTTCTTCATTGCATTCATTTGTGAAAACTGTGTTAATGTTAAATTAACCACATGATGTTTTAGAAAATACCAAATTGTTTAAATAACACATTATGCATTCAACATGTTTGTTACAAATCAATCAGCGATGATGTTTTATAAAAATCAATAAATTTTTAAGTAAACATTGCTTACAAAAACTAATAGATATCTATCTTATCGGTACCATAGTGTAATAAATCAAAACTCCTGAAAGTCAAAATTGATTATGGTTTATAATCGTATATACATGCAATCAAGAACACTTATTATTTGTTTATACTAATTAGAAACAATTAACCTGATTAAAGTAACCATGATAAGTAGTCGTGACAACTTTATCACGTTTTAATGCTCAATATCTTATTGGTATTCTTTGACAAAATGTCTACCATTTATTAAAACATTTTATTGATCATTCGTCAAATGTATGTTTTCGAATCCATATATAGCCCCTATATTATTGATCATATATTTAAACCAATAATTCAATGAGACTTACTTTAAATGAATCGTTTTTTTATCATAAAGACCAGCAATAAAATAATATAGAGAATGAAACAATAAATGCATATGTGTATCCTTTACAAACTGTCTCGATATAACTATTTTACCACAATTTTGTAGAAAAGATGTTTTGTGACTAGTGGTGAAATACGTGTAATATGTTGAAGATTGATTGTAAAACATGATGCTTTGCTCACAGCATAAGGCTACTACACTTACGATTTCAACAAGCTAATCATAGTTCTAGAAGATTTTGGGAGATCACTTTGCAAACTGACGACAATCTCTGTATGGTTTTACAATATATTTTAGTATGTTCGGATGTGCTGGGTTACACCATCTTTCAAATGACCTGAAAAAATAATTCATCTAGACTGGAACATTATGTGTTGATTACAGTGAATTTACATCCACATTTTTACGGGTGATATACACTCACCCCCTCGTTATCCTACTTACTTACTTATTTACGCATATCACCCTCTACCACTCTCCATCCAACCCTGTCCTGGACAATCCTTTCCAGTTCCTTCCAGTTGCTATTCATCGTCTCCATATCTGCTTCCGATTCCCGAAGCAGTGTAGTCTTGAGTCTTTCATTTTTCCGTATCTTTTCAAGATTCCAAGTTACGGCTTGCCTCGTGATACACGTTGGTGATTTTCTTAATGTGCATCCTATCCACTTCCAAAGTCTTCTCCCGATTTCGTCTTCAGCTGGAGGTTGATTTGTCCTCTTTCACAGCAGACAGCTGCTGATGGTGTATGACAAACAGACACTGAGTATCTTGTGTTGTTGTTGTTTTTAGTTGCTTTGAGTTCGATGTATTCTCCAATTGTAGAAATGCGGCCTTTGTTTTGCCACTCCTCGTATTCATGTCTGCATGGGATCCTCCTTGTTCATCGGTAATGCTTCACAGGTACGTGAAAACTTCCACATCTTCCAGAGCTTCTCCAACAAGTGTGATTGGTTTGTTTGATGTTCTCCGTGGTGTATTTTAGGATCTTTCATTTTATTTTGTGTATGTTGAGGCCCACTGATGTATATACTTCTGCCACACCGCTTGTCTTCATTTGGATGTGTTGATGTGTAAGTGGTAGAAAGACCAGTTCATCTGCGAGGTCCAAATCTTCAAATTGATTCTGAACCGTTCATTATATTCCGTGGTTCTCCTCAGATGTGAAGATCTTCATAATTCAGTTGATCACCACACTCGTGGAGCAGCCCAATTTCAGGGTTCACTAAAACTATATATATATATATATATATATATATATATATATATATATATATATATATATATATATATATAATTCTTTAATGTATCACCAAATCATGAGATGCTTTTTTACTATAATCGTATTATGTACCTAGTTTATTTTTAAATAAAGCATTTATATTTAATAATTTAAACATTACAAACCACTACTCATCTACATTATGATTTGAATTATTTGTATATAAATAGCATGTAAAAAGTACTTATTATTATTATTATTAGCTTTACTCAATGTTATATTTTTGGTACAATATAGAATTCTCAGTTCAAGGTATTTCAACAAGTTTCTTACATAAAAGAAAAAAACCAAAACAAAGGGAGTGAATGAAACTGATAACTGCATACATATATGCATAATTTAAGTAGATAACCTACCTTCAATGAAATGAAGTATTTGTTTTTAAAAGAATATTCGGATCTGTTCAACTTTTTTAATTAAAAAACATATGAAATACTAATTCACTTGGTATGGTTTGCTTATATCTTCCCATCATTGTTTAGGACTGAAATTCATCAGTCTCTTATTGGCATATGTGAATACTGTGTGAACTGCTTTGATATTGCCTTAAATCACAGGCTTTATAAATAAAGATGGATATTGGCTAACAACGGAATCCAGGACGACTATTTCTTCCTATTTGAAATTTATCAGTTTGATGCACCAGCAAGCCAGAGTTGATTTTCACTCTGAGACTCGAACCTATCGCGTTATCTACTCAGCTACTGAATCCTGATAGCTATCTGCTTGTGCATTGGGGTGAAATATTATTTTTTAAAAATTTTTGTTTGTTTGTTATCATATTGTTTTTAAGTGATTTATACGTTTTATTTTTATAGCCTTAGGATACTTTGAAATTTCATTAACTTTTACACTTGAATATTTCCACTTAACTATTAAATTTATAATCAGATAACAATCTATTTATTTTGCTTCCAGGTTTCCCATGGTGTTCTAGCTTCAATTAACTCATGATTTCAAACAGTGAAATTTCTAAAATCTTCATAAAACCCCTTCTGTTAAAAACTATTGTTTGAATTATTCATTGATTAACTTTTAAGTTAACTAAAAACATTGGGATTGAATAGAAAAGAAAATCAACATTATTTGTGTTACTGACAATTTGTTATTCATAATTTTAGTAAAAAAATAAGTTACAAAGATAATTCAATTGAGTGCAAGTAAAATTTGTAATAATAAATTATTAACAATGATAAATTCATTTTTGATTGAGATCATGAATCGATTAATGTTAGACCACTATTGAAAACCTGATCTAATATCAATCGGTTCATGATCTCAATTAAAAATCTAATAATAACCACAACCCTATACTGGTGAATTCATTTTTATAAATCACATTTGAAATAAAAGATACATTTACTTAAAATGTAATGTTCAAACGTCTTTTATAGAAATTGTTTAGTTTCACGATAAATCGAGAAGGATCTAATTGTATTTAACCATTAGCCATGTGAGTCAGATTATAATAGTTTCTGGAATCGGTAGTAAGCAATAACAAGTGAAATTACTTGTTTCTTTGGTCATTTGACCATTATAGGGACATAGGACACTAAATCAGAGATATTTCCTGGGCACTCTTTTCTAGTTCATGGTCTTGATGCCCGGCTCTAATTTCCTACGCCCTGGGTTTTTTGTTTTGGCTTTATTCTGTTTGTCTTAAGGATTTCAAGTTAGGTTTTATCTTGTGACACTGTTTGATTTTTTCTCCTTAAACAGTGTCCTATGCACCGTCAGAGTTCTTTCCTGACTTCTTCCTCAACTGACAACTCTTTCACTTTTTATCTTATCAGGTCATTACTAGTGGTTTCTGGCCAATCGATCTTAAGTATCTTGCGTAAACAATTGTTTATAAATGCCTTTACTTTGTTAGTGATAGGAGTGAAAGTTCGATAAGTCTCAGCTATATACAGTAGGATTATTTTAACGTTAATTTCGAGAATTGTAACTGTGGTCATTTTTGATTTATCTTTTGGTTTACAGATGATCATCAATAATGGGAATCCTGTCCTTGATTTTTTGATTCACATCCTGACATTCACAACACGTCCTCTTTGTTACCCACTAATGCTCCCCAAGTAAGCAAGAGCTTCCGCCTCTTCTAAAACTTCGGGGACTAGCGTGTGGACAAATTCCCACCTTCAGTTACTTTAAATTGTATCTGCCAGTATACATGTAAGTGCCAAATCATATATTATAAGAATAGTAAGGTAGGTTAATGTCCGCATCTCTGAACACATTCTACAGAAGCTTAAACCAAGTGAATAACAAATTTTCAATAATGCGATCTCACGTCATCTGCTTAATAATGACCATAATGTTAATGTCTCTAAATACTTCAAGATAACTAATAAAGAAACAACGTCGAATTTATTACGGTTTGCCGAAGCAGTTACCATAAAAAACATAAACCAAATTTATACATCCAAAAACACTTAGTTATCAGTTATGTTTTTCCGTGGTGAACTCATTCATCAGTGTTTGTTAGGCAATTTTTCTTTTCATTGTTAATTTTCACTTATGGTCTGATATGTACTCAGTAACCCAGTTTTGTTCTAAGAGCTACATAACTGCAACGCTAATATTTATTTCATTTCTAAATAACTGTTTCTATGTTCTTAGTTGTTTATTCTGCCCCCAAATGACCTGGTATGGCCGAAATTGGGGTGGGGCCGCCCTTCCTCTCGAAATGCTCTCACACGGCCACGCGTATACAACCTCTGCCAGGGAAGTCCTACTTACCGCCTTCCCATGGAGGGGGTGATGTTTACGAAAATGAGAGGACGAAAAGCGAATGTCCAGCGCTTTAACCGAATCCCAAACCATTGGTGCACATGGGCTCCAGGATCCTGAAGGAACCAATAGCGTATGAACCAATTGTTAGTCACCAGCTACCATGGGACTGCATCTCCTAACGTTGCTCCACTGCCTTGTGGGTTAAACTTTTAGGTCAAAGGCTCGGGGTGTGGCCCCCTAAGAAAACCACCTCCTTCGGTCTGGGCACCCGGACAGTATCACAGCCCACACACAAATATAATTAAAATGATGATATTTACTGAAAACTCTATTCTCACTTCGATTTACAGTCAAACAATTCACATTATTATTATTACTATTATTATTTGCTATGTCATTTGTTCACTCTCTTTTATTCTCATTTTATGTATACTTATTTTTCGACTTATACAGCAGCTCGTCTATGGTGGAAACTCGGTTCTATCTAAACATTCTCTAGTCACTGCCTGGTTGAAAATTGTATGCTACCACCAAATACGAATACTGAAGTAGTTTTTCTGAAACTACGTGCGTGTGGCGTATATATATTTGGTGCTCCCTTATACCAATATTTATGTGTTCAAATAAAAATAAATAAATAAGTTGTTTATTCTGGATCATTCTTATATTCACTCAATAAATATTAACATTATTTAGCATATAAGCACATGTAATAGTTTTTCCATACTTATTGCTTTTTTATTAATCTTCATTGGTGAGAGATTTTCTCAAATAATATAAAGTATGTACACTGATTTTTAATGAATACTGCCATTAAGTTGTAAGTAGTTGACTAGAAATCATGAAATATAATGAACTCATGTTATTCTGTTACGTTAATTGTTCTTGCTTTTGTCATATTTTTGAATGGGGAAAATTATATGAAATATTACTACTAAATCGATCAAAGTGCACATTTGTTAACAATCAACACTCAATAATCGGCATATGTACAAATCATCATGTAATTGATTGAAACGTTTTCTACTCAAACTGTTTTAAGAAATAGAGTTTATATAAATTTCGAGCTAAAACAGGTAAGTTATTACCTATACAGGTGTTGATAATATTATTGGTAATCGGAAATAAAAGCTTTAGAGACAATTTCATAACCGTGTCATTGTGTCATAAAATCAACTCCCAATTTATATCCTTTTTCTTAATTTAATATTCTTGATTGAATATATATGGAGCATGTAGCATAGAATGAGGTTAACTGTAAATTACTTCAATTCTTACTATATTCAAACCATGTTTAGTTTATTTCTGACGATTAAAACTTTCACAATTAATGCATCTCTACACATTGCGAATTATGACGATAATATATGATGAACTTCATAACAATCTGTTATAACACAATTATATTTCTATTTGAATAGTGTTATAACTTGTGCCTTATATCCTATTGATGTATAACGTAATGATACCGCCAATTAGAGAGCAGTACTTCATCGACCGGATCAATGACACATAAAACCCGTACGTGCAGTCTAGAGTACTTATCGGTCCTGCTTCCTACCTAGCCCTGCCTGTTAAGTTCAGAACACCATTCTCAGCTTTTGCGATATGAATCGTTTATTTTAATTATACTGAGTTTATATACAATTGAAATAGACTACATTGTAACATAAAATAGAAAATAACATTTGTACAAGATTTAGCCAAAAGTGGTTGTGAATGTAGGAGATAGTAATTGATAGACTGAGTATAACTAAAGAATGGTAAATCGTATAATAATAGTTCATAGGTCAAAATAAAGCTCATAATATGAGGGACATATATATGAATAGTTTAGTTAATTAACAATTATACGATAAAAATATACGTATAGTAATAGTCCAGAAATAGATTCCAACAGTCATCATTCACTATTCTCATCAGGATATAAGAAATAGAGTAACAGATTTTGACGGTGTATTGATTTATAAAACGGAATAAATTAAAAATGTCAGTTTTAATATTAAATATTTGACAGCTGATAATTACAATAATATTTTCCTTTTAAAAAAGTACTCATATTACTATTATCAGCATTGATCTATTCTACACTTTGAAGTCATAGACTTCAAACTGTTTTCATACTTCCACTTTTATTTTTCATTGAAATACTTTAAGTAACAAGAAAAAAAATTAACAAACTGTTTAATTTGTTCTTATGACATTTTATATTCGTTTTGACAACATACAATTATGGATCATTTTTTATCTAAGAATTATTTAATCACTAAATTGAACTATTATTCTGATGGAGTTTTGTTCTCTGAGCTGGATGGTTTGGTCGTGGAGCTTTCATCGTTCTTCTGAACGACATCATCAGCACAAACTTCAGATAGAAGTGAAGTGTTCGAATTTCTCCATATGCGTTTCACAGCTTGTTCTGTACACCTCGACGTTGGTTGGTTCTTATTGACGTTAAATTTGTCATTGTTTACTCCTTTGTTTTGGTTGTGTCTCCCATTGGTTTGATTTTCGTTCCTATATTTGTGCATAATTTTCCTGATTGGTTGATATATTGGATCGATTTCAATGTGCTTGTTGATTGCTGATTGACCTGAGTGCCAGGCTTCTAAAGATTCTCTGGTGTTTTTGGAATTTCCTCTGTCCAAGATTTCTACATTTTCCCAATCGAATGAATGTTCGCAGTTTTCCAGGTATATTGATATAAGTGAGGAAGTATCACGGCGTTTGACTGCTAATTGATGTTCATGTAGGCGAAGGTGAAGGGGGCGTCTACTTTGTCCGATGTATGGGGAAATTTGAACACTTCACTTCTATCTGAAGTTTGTGCTGATTATTTCGTTCAGAAGAACGATGAAAGCTCCACGACCAAACCATCCAGCTCAGAGAACAAAACTCCATCAAAATCATCCACCTGAGCTGCAAACCATGAACTATTATTCATAATTAACAATTTAATTGTCATATAAGTAATGAACAAATGATAATTTATCAATAACGATGGAATTCTGTAATAGATGACAAGTAAATATTCATTTATTGCATGTGTGCATAATATCTTGTTGCATGTTATATAAAGTTATAAATAACTTCTAATATTTTACGAGTTCTCTGTTTTTTTTTATTTAAAGGTATCATTTCACATAATTGTTTAACACTATAAGTTGATTTTGTTAGTTGAGTAAAAGTCTATCTTAATTGAGCTATATTACATAAATACTATGATTAACATAACCCTGTATGAAAATTTAATGTTAGTTTGAGTAATTATGTTAAAAACAACGTAGATCGTTTTTTTCATTTAAGTTCACTCAGCCATTGTTACAAGTGATCAGAACTATTATGAATATAATAGTTGAATTCACACGTCATTTGAAGCTAGGCCACTATCCTAGTATGTGACACATACTGAGATGTAACGGCCGTCTAGTGCTTCCAGGCTTTCCATTGTGGTTTAGCTTCAATTGACTCGTAAATTCAACCATTAAATTACTATGATCTTCACAAAACCTCTCTCTGATTATTATGAATATATTAAGGATGACGTCGTCAGAATAATAAAACTTAACTGAGGAAGACCAAGAATTCAGGTCATAAGATTACGACTTATTAGATACAAATGATAGATTAAAACACTGTGATGTATATAACTACTATTCACATTAAATGAAAGTTAGATGATAAATAACATCAGCTGAGTAATCTTTGATATTGGTTAATAAATTGCTTAAAATATAAACATATTTCACAAATATTGTAAGATCAGAATTCTACAATTAATAAACAATATT